TACATACACACACACACACACACTATAATAAGTAATAAATGAAAGCATTATACTGTAATTATGGTTATTACCATTAACTAAAACATTTCTGTTAATTAAAAATATATATAAAATACATAAACTTAAACTAAACAAAAATGAGAAAAGTTGCCTTTGCAACTAACTGAAATAACTTAGTTGAAGCATTAAAATAACTCAAAAATAAATAAAAACTACAAATGAAATACAAAATAAATTAAACCTAAATAGAACTATTTAAAAAATAATTATAACAATGACAAAACGTAACAAAATGACTAAAAATGAAGGTAGGATTTATACGGTATAGTAGGGTTATTATCATTAACTAAAACTAGAACTATTAAAACATTTTTGTTCATTGAAATACAGCTTAAATAAAATAAAATAAAATATGAGATAAAAATCTTAAACTAAGCAAAAATTTGAAATGTTGCCATGGCAACTAATTGAAATAATTTTCAAGTTGAAGATGAAGCATAAAAAAACTCAAACTGAAACGCAAATACATTAATTAAACAGTAATAATAAAATTAATTAAATTGTAATGAAATAAAAACGAATAAAAATGACAAAAGCACGACTAAAAATGAAACTAAAATGAAAACCAAAAATATAATAAACAAAGATATAAATGTAAAAATATATAAATAAATGACAATTCTAAATATTAATAAAACTATAATAGTAAAATAATACTAAAATAACAAGGGATTGTAATTGATAACAGATGAGAACAAGTATGTCTGCTTAGGCTGATTAGTTTTCTTAGTCAATATAAGGTATACATCTGCTGCTAACTATGTTCCTCAGAGTCATTTCCTTTTTTATTAAATCTAAAATAAAACTATGGAATGTGATTCATGTGAGACATAAAAGGTCACACATGCTGTGCACATTTCTAAAATCCAGGAGAACCTTGGCTGTAAACTTTCATTTGAAATCGTATGAATTTTGCTACATAGTTAAATGTCATACAATCTTTTCAAAGCTTTGGCCAAAACAAGAAAAGAACAGACAAAAGACGTTCTATTCTCAGAATGATACAAGCAGGTGTTGCAATAAAAGACCTAACTGACAGTTTCTTTCATCAAACTGCCGATCCAGTCTCAAGAGCCTAATAGGAGCACGCAGTGTGTTTGAACTACTTACAGAGCCCTGTGCTAAAATAAATCGTCAGATCTCCTCACTTTGCTGAATAATTCTTTCGACACAATCATTTGCACAAATGAATCCACTGAAATGAGCGGTCACAAACTCACCTCTTTCCCTGCCAGCAATGATGGGGCGCCGCCTCACCACTTCCCCCATGCCGCGTATATTTTCTGGCGAGCTTAAAGAGCTGACAGCAAAATCGGCAGCAAGAGTGCTCAAGGAGGTCCAGGAAAGGTTGAAGTTTCAGTTTAGACACACTGGAGAGATACAACTGAGGCCTGAATTATGAATGACTCTTACAAGCGCAAGAAACCTTATCCTTGTCCAGGCTACAACAACGTCCATCTCAATATCTTTACGCATTACAGATTTCCAAACATCCTTCACCGACTACAAAGGACAACTACAGTTACAGCTTGGCAACTTGTCTGTAAACGGCAGCTAATGAACTAATTACATAATGTCAAATAGACAGCTGACAACTATTTGAAATGACTAATGTTTATATTGTAGGACCACTTTATTCTTTCGAGATAAGATTATATATTAATAGCTGCCTCAAATGTAAATACGGAGAAATATTCTGTACTTTCTGTCATCAGCTTGTGATATAAAAATATTTTTTATCCCATTCATATTTATAGAGTAACTTTTAGCTATAGAAAACTATATAAAATCGTTTTTCCCCCAATGGCCTTTTGTAATGTTATTTATTTTATAAATAAATTTTTATTTAGAAATTACATTTCAAAATTTACTAGGCTTGGAAATCACACTTTTGAAAGTTTTGATTTTTTTAGGAGTGCAGGAACCCTTCAAAATATGAATTATGAAATATATTAAAGTATGAATTAATGTATTGAAGTATGAATGTGGTGATTATGTCATATCACTATAAGTTAATGGAATAAAGTACAGAATATTTTCCCATTTTCCTAGTAAAACTACAAATGTTAATATTAAATATAATAACAACAACAACAACAATTTAAAAAGTTCTGGAAAGCTGCTCTCGTTTCTGTGGCATAGTTTTACAGTAGGACGTTCCATATCAAGTTTCTCTTTTAATTACTCTGATTTAACAGTCTGAAGCTACTTTAAACAAACAATGCATTGCTTTAAAACAATCCGTTTCTCTTCGGCAGCTCAAACTGACTGAATACTGCACAAAATGTAATTAGCACGCTAAGAAAGTGTGTCTTGTGAAAGCTGAGACGCCATCCCTGACCAGTGAGCGGACATTAAACATTAACCTGCTCTATCTCCGGACTGGGTGCCTCGTGTAGAAGTAGGTAACACTACAGATGACCTCTGGCATGCAGCCAGAGAGGACTATAAGGAGGCGCAGGTCAAGTTACCCTGGAGTTGAAAAAAATTAAGCAATATGAATTTGCATCCAAACATATCCATCACCTGGTTTTCATATAGCTGGTACATTAACTCATAATCAACATGGATACCTTGAGAGCTTTAAATAAAAGCAGGCAATGTTATTCTGCAACTTGATATCGAGCATATTATTGAGCTCTGTAGCATGAAAGTGCCTGAGGACTCACTTTACAAACACTTATTCGTGAAACAATAAGCAGTACAGGGATTACAGTTACAGTAAGGGTCATTGTTACAACCCTTAGAAGAGCATAGGCCGTATTTTATTTTAAGTCACGTGTTTTGAAATCACAGGGCTAAAATGTTAAGGACTCTAAACCCAGTGGCCTAAAGCGTTTAATTTTTTGCTCTTTGTGGGTGTCACTTAGGGAAAAGTGAAATACTGACCGTGGAAGAGGCCAGTGTAAGAGCACTAATTTAACCAGACAACTGCTCGTACACACATTAATCTTTCCCCCTGTAGAGGATCATGCTCTGGCAAAACACTTCTGCTTTGTGCAATTGTGATTTTTTTTTGTGCTATTTCTGTATCTGTTTGTAATTGTTGTCTTGTACTGCACTTCTTAAAAAGTCAGAAAAATAAGTTCAAAATCAGTAGTTTTCTTGTTTTCATAAGTAATTAAAGATAAATAACTGTGAAAAAATAGCAATGGACATAAAATGGACTTGTTTTCAGAGAATATACCTAAATGCTGTAAAAAAAAAAAATTAATATATACATACATATACACACACACACACACACACATTTATTTAAAAAAAAATCCTAATCATAATTGTTTTTACTTGTTTAAGCATACATACATACAACAAAATATATTGATGTTAAAGCTTAAAACAACAAAAACTGAAATTCTGATGTGATTAAAAAGTATATTCTCTGAAAACAAGTAGATTTAGAAATGCCAATATATTTTTTACAAGGCAAAAATACAGATTCAGAGTATTTTTTTTTTGTTAAAAAGAACTAAGTTCATAGGTTTTATCTTAAAGAAGGATTTTATGAACAATATTAGGGTTTAACAATTCAGTCAATAATAATATAATCTACCTACACATAACTTAAGAGTCAAAACATAACTTTAAATTTAAATATGCGGATACAATTCAGTACAAAAATAAAAGCAGTAAAATGTCTCAATACATAAAATTATTTTCAAACAGTTCAATGCTACAAAGACAGTTACAGTTTTGTAACTGCAACACGTATAGAAACAACATTAGTTGGCCAAATCTTCCTCTCCGTTCATTAAAAGGCCATTTTCTGAGTCCACTCTGGGGTTCCAACATGTTAACTTTGTCGTAGTGTTGATCCTGAATATAGTGATGTCTGTAGGTCCTCGTTTAAGACTGCAGCGGGACTTATTTAAGTGAGAGGCTTATTTCTATGTATTGATATGTTCAGCATTGCATTGCAACTTTTGATACGGCATGTACTGGTTACTTAAAGAAACAGGAGACTAAAAAGTGGCAAGATGTTCTTTGAGGTATACCTGTCAGATTTTTAGGTAAACTGCTGTAGTCACTCAAACATTCATGAAAGGTACCTTTGGTAAAACTGGATGGTTTTAATATTATTCCAGTTGTCTTGAAGTTACACAAAACGCTGGTTGAAGAAAAACGTTCAGACGTTTTCCATTTGTCCATGAGGAACCTCTTTACAGGTCGGCTAAAGTTAGCAAGATCTGAAAACGTCACGGGTCCACATAAAGACCATGTGTCACGTTGGCTAAGCATGGCTCGTGCATAGTCATCAGTAAATGTGCAAATTATGACCTTTAATTAATTGCTCCCCAACACGATCAAGAACTTGTCTCCACGGATAGTGAGTTGCGAGGATATAGTCCACGTGATCTCTGTGGCTATTATCACAGACAGTTTGTTTTCCTGTACAATAAGGCATTTTAGAGAACTGCACAATTTAATCTGTGTCCGAGGGACCAAATGCCTGTCACCTTTTGTTGTTTGAACATCCCGTTTTGAGTCCAGCTGTACTTTAGGTTTCTTGCACTGAGCCAAGCAGCAGTCTGGAAAATGTGAATTCTTCCACAGTGTGCTGTTGTTGTTAAATGTTCTGCCTGCCAGGAGCGACGTGCTATGATTTATCTCCTTGAAGAACCTGAAAGCAGACAATATTACAGTAATCAGATAAACGCCCACAGAACATGAAAGGCTTCAAATAGCCATTCAAAAACAATCCGAGATCACGCTTTCGGCACGGCTAGTGATGGCAAAAAATTAGTTAAAAAGCATATTTGTGACCCTGGGCCACAAAACCAGTCATAAATCGCATGGGTATATTTGTAGCAATTGCCAAAAAGACATAAAATATATACATAAAATTATACATAAAATATATCAAAACGTAATTTTTGATTAATAGTAGGCTATGCATTGCTAAGAACTTCATTTGGACAACTTTAAATGCGATTTTCTCAATATTTAGATTTTTTTTGCACCCTCAGATTCCATATTTCAGATGATGTATAAATCTCAATTTCAAAAAATTGATACTTATGACTGATTTTGTGGTCCAGGGTCACATTTGTGGTTTGGAGATTTGGATATTCTTAGTGGAATTGCTATGGGTTTATCTCTTGTTGGTCTTGTCATGACGTACCGGCGGATCATCTAATATGAAGTCAGAACTTTCCAGATGCTGACAAGCATTTGGGTCGTGTTTTTTTCATATAAAACACACAGACCACAACACACTAGGGACACATGAAAGAAGCCGAGTATATTCTCTCGAGTGAAGGACAATCCCTGTCATTTCCAAAACAAGATTACTGTGGAATCTGACAGAACCGAATACATATGTCGAATGATACTCGGCGTGCAGAACTTCATTACTCGAGTTTATTTAAATTTACTACAACGGTTTATGAAAAGTTACCTGAAATCATATGAGTCACCTCATGTTATTTACTTCTGTGGTTACCGAGCAAAACACAGGAAACTCAGTACAATAACACCAGAAGCACTTTAATTCAATTAACCCGGGCAACTCCAATAACTCAAGGGCTTGGATCCAGTCTGGCAGTGTTATGAGAGCAAATATTCCTGGCATAACAGTTGAAGAAACTAAAACTGAAGAAAACCAGACACCTAAATGGTGATTAATGGGGTTTGGGTTCAAAAACAAGCAGAATGCGAATAAAAAGCTCCTTACCTACCTGGTTGCGGGTTTTGTGAGATTTCTGCAGCCAGACCCGCCACTGATCATAGAGTTTGATACTCATACCGCTGCAACCATAGGCGTGTTTGCGCACCCAGCCAAAGAACTGCTTCAAATCCCGACGCAACGTGGAGTTCCGCTGCCCCACCTTCGAGTCACATGACCCTGTCAGCAGCCGCTCTGCGGGGTGAAAGACAAAAATCAACACGTGTCCATCCAGGGGAGACAAGCGCCCGTCGTACACGCATCAAGCTTATCACAGATACAGGCCGCAGTTTACACAGCCAACCAAACACAAGTTGGGATAAAAATAAATCCTTTTCCATTTTAAATAAACAGCAGGTTTCCGAGCTCCAGATGTGGGCTGCTCCAGAAGAGTTAATGTGCAGAGGAGTTAATCTGTTAATCTTCAGAAACAATCCTCTGAAAAAATATATCCAACACTCCCCCGTGGCTCTCTGGCAAGCCACAAAATGAGGAGATGTATGACTAAAGTAATGCGTTGCATCTGCTAGTTGGTGTCTGCTGGACTGAGCATCGTCTTGGAAATATGTATCTGATTATAGGATGGACTGCACGACACATTCAAAATGTGAAAATATGATGAAGGACAGCGAAGGCAACATCTCAATCCGAGTATCGCTGCTACCATTTAACTAGGGTCGCTGGTTATATTTATTTATTTTCTATGTTGCTTTGGGCCTTTCTGTCATTTTTAATAATACAAACATTAAATAAGACCAGAAATAATTGGGAGAGGGATTTATATAATGCAAGCTGGAATCAAACTCATGTTTCCCACATGAGGCCCGTTGCACTAAAAGACTGCCAAGCCATTATTTCGATCAGTCCAAGTTTTAAATAATTATACTTTCATAATCTGCATGAATGGTTCTTCCAATACAATGTAATAGCGGAAAAGCAAAATGCATTGTGTGTATTTTTTTTCTGAAAATATTATTTATATTATATTAACATTGATTTCACAAAGCCAAAGTGTCGAATCAACTTAGCCATGTTAAACATGTTGGTTAATGCTTTTATAAAATTAATTGGTAATAAATTAAAATTAATAACTCTTTATCGTATCCCATTAGTTAAATTTAGTCAATTCAATAAAAACTTCAACTAACAATGAGCAATCCTTCAATCCTTCAAATTAATGCAAATTTAACTGTTCATTGTAATTTCATGTTAAAGGGTTAGTTCACCCAAAAATGAAAATTTTGTCATTAATTACTCACCCTCATGTCGTTCCACACCCCTAAGACCTTCGTTCATCTTCAGAACACAAATTAAGATTTTTGATCAAATCCGATGGCTCAGCAAGGCCTCCATTGACAGCAACGCCACCCAAACTTTCAAGATCCATAAATGTACTAAAGATGTCATTAAAACAGTCGACGTGACTACAGTGGTTCTACAATAATTTGATGAAGCGACGAGAATACTTTTTGTGCGCAAAAAAACAAAACAAAAATAACGAGTTTATTCAACAACCTCTTCTCTTCTGTGTCTTTCTCATACGTTGTTTACGTCCAGCGCTTCCAGGTTCTACATCAGAACGCCGGCTCATTATTGGACGGCTCCTGCATCAGCATCACACACATGCGTCGCGCTGCTCACATGTGCAGCTTTGGCCAATAATGCGCACAAAATGTATTCTCGTCGCTTCATAAAATTATTGTAGAACCGCTGTAGTCACGTCGACTGTTTTAACGACGTCTTTAGTACATTTATGGATCTTGAAAGTTTGGGTGGCGTTCCTGTCAATGGAGGCATCTCTGAGCCATCGGATTTTATCAAAAATATCTTAATTTGTGTTCTGAAGATGAACGAAGGTCTTAGGGGTGTGGAACGACATGAGGGTGAGTAATTAATAAAATAATTTTAATTTTTGGGTGAACTAACCCATTAAACTATATTATCAGGTACAACTTTTGATTTTACTAATGATAAAATTAATAAATGTTTAAATTAACAATAAGATTAAAAATGTTTAAAAGAATATTTTTCATTGTTCACAAATGTAGTTAACTAAGGTTTTAATAATAATTATCAAAATAACCATTACTTTCACCATGTAATATAGTTCAATAGCTACAGGTTTTTTTGTGGGTGCCAAGCATGCAAAAAAATAAATAAATACACGTTAACAGAATATGTTAACGGAAAATGATCATTTGTGTGCATTTACATTTATCTCCATTTTACAATGACTTTGAACATGGATCTGGTTTTATACCAATCAACAAAAAGCAAATTTGGGATGTGTTATTGTTAGAGTTCAAAATTCAGAAATAGTATTCTTTTCTACTGTAAACTAGAAAAGTGTAAACTAAAGCTATGAAACCTTACAAAAAAAAAGTGATATCGTTGTACTTTGATATTTACCATTGTACTTGCAAGGTACTTAAAAAAACCCATAGTATTAGCATACAAAACTTCCAAAAAATAGTTTCCTAAAAAGGTTCTAAGTACCTTCTTTTGCAAGGATCACTTAAATGATATTTCTCTTACCACTGTGTGGTGTTGAGGCTGCAGTTGGGTGACTCCAGTCACTCCAAATGCCTGCTTTCCTAGATCCCAGAATCCCGACCGGATTACAGCGCACCTGCACAAAATACACCGTGCCTGGCTGCAACCCTGCGAGCCTGCAGGAAGTCTGGTTCCCAACATCATCCACCACCTGCAGAGAAAGACACCCAAAACAGTCTGTTACATCAAACACCTACAGCGGCCACATACCACACACACACTGTTACCCTACCGGGCATATTTAATGTTCTCTATAAGAAGAAAAAAAAAAGCCATTCACTTTCAAAATCCTTAAGCAAGTTCACACAAGCTCATCTACAAAGAAGAAGAACAAAGAAATTTCCCCCTTTTGTGCTCCTAGGGGATATACAACATATATCCGAGACAAAGACAGGAGGTAAATAACAGGGGCACACACATAAATAATTGGTCTACCTTCTGGCTCTACATATACACGACGAGCACCAACACTACCCTGAGAGAAAATCTGTTATCTATTGCTTATTACAGATTGAGTAATTGCACGGTTCGCAGACAGCATCAACGACATGCAGACAGTGCCATGCCAGCCTCGGTGCTTCCTCCTTCCTGTGCATTAAAGCAGAGGTATATGGGATTCGAATGCAGGAATGTTGAAACGGCCTGGGCCCCCTGTAATTATTTACAATCCCGGTACCCCTGAATCAGTCCCGTTCCAGTCCACGGTCCATTTCCAGACTCACATTTCAAAAACTACAAACACGGTTAATATGCACGGCTCTGTAATCCGAGGACCATCATTACTATTGGAACGTGATGAGTGGCAGAATGTTAACATAATCAGGTTGCCGTGTAACAGGCATGCTGGGTAATTATTTCACTTCGCACAGGCTGTGTAAGCAATCTGTGGGTTTTAGAACGGCCAGGTGATAATACAGCTCTTTAAACGCGTTTTGAAAACAATAGATCGTCTGCTGTGATGTGCTTTTGATGGTCACTGTCATATTTTGACTTTGTTAACTATGTAGGACTGCACATCTGACAGCACAATGATGGGTAAGGGGGAAAAAAATTATGTAACTATGTAGGACTGCACATCTGACAGCACAATGATGGGTAAGGGGAAAAAAAATTATGTAACCCAACTCTGCCCAGCTTCAGAAGGAAACCTGCCAACTGATTGGATCCATATGAGCGAAATGGGGACAGCGAAAGCTTAAGTTTATTTGAAGCCCTAAAGTTTAGCCGGACTCTTCCGTGGCCAGAGGACTGGAAACCATGTGCTGTTCTGCTACAGCTGGAAATGACGTTTCGGACAAGTAATACAAACACCCCAAATTCTACTGAAACATGGCTGTTATCTTTTGAACCGCTCTAATTAATCATCGCGCCACTCTGCAAATGCTTTAAAATCGAGAAACTGACACTAACTCATGCATGCATACACAGTTTGCATTACAAAAACAAGTGGGTGTGGAAGTGGGAAGATGGTAATAGTAATCAGGATAATGGGCAGAGAGCCGATGACGTGTGCTCACTGATCGAGAGTGCTACCGTACCTTCCAGTCGCTGCTTTCCTCCAGTCTGTATCTGATCTGGTATTTGGCCTGAAAGAGGAAGTCTTTTAATGCAGGCGGTGTCCCCCAGCGCACAGTCAGCTGGTCCTCCAGGTCGCCCACTCGGCTCACGGTCACATCAGTCGGTGGGTATTAAATATATATATATATATATATATATATATACATATATATATATATAAAATAATGAATATAAATCTACTGCATCATACGCTAACAATTCTGCATCTCGTTTATGAATTTCAGCTCTGTATGAAAGAAAAATGGTTCAAATAAAGTCAAGTCAGTCTCCACAAATAAGTATAGAAAACACAGAATCAAATTACTTTATAATTACTTATAGTTCTGGTCTCATGGATATCTAGTTCACGCACTACAAATTTGTGATGCCACTAACCTTGTGAATTTTGTCCTGTAATTACTTCATCACAAAAAATAGGGTATTGTCTCAAGTTTGTTATTACGAAAAAACCTGTGTGGCTTACTTACTCCGGTAAGTTTTATAAAACTAGCCAATCACACACTTTTGTCATGTTTTGTGTGCAATATGCACCAGCTGATCAGTGAATGAACTTTGTGCGGTCTGCAGGTCGAGACTAGAGACTTTTGATCTTGTGATTCAACTGAGATGAAATATATGCTGCTTCCCGATATTCTAGCTGACTAATTGTTCTGTATTTTTCCGCTTTGCCTGCATTTTTATTCAGGCTGCTATAAAATGATATTACATTGATAGCGCTTCAAATTCCAAGTAATTGTAGTCTGCTTGGATCTCAAAGCTGTTGTTTAATTAGCTGGCAACATAGATGAGCATTGTCTCTGTTGCTAAGGAGGTGGAGGCACTAGGTGTGGTGTCTGTGTCATAACTATGGCATGTTTGGAGGAGCACCCACCTTCCTCTTATGCTTTTTCCATTCAAAATCACCCTGCCTCCCCCTTCAGGTGCAGTTACACTGATTTACACTCACAGGATGTAAAAGTTTATAACCTTTCTCATCTCCTTTTGGAGGATGGGGGGCTTCGGTTTGTGTTCAGGCTATTTTAATTTAATTTCAAATGCTTTCTAATGTCTTGCCAAGACAAAATGCCCCCCGACTTAAGTCCTAACAATACTAATTCCATTTTTATGAAGATGTTTGTTGTTTAAAATGTCTGTTTGAAGAGATTATGGGCAAGCTTGGCCTGCACTCAAAGCACATAAGATCTTAAGGATTCAACAAAACAGACTTGACCCTATTCCAGTCACACTGCTAAACAGTAGCCCCAGGCAGGTCACGGTACTGGGATTAGCGGAAAACTTTGCAAAAATTCCACTCGTCTGTAAAGGAGGGGGCTGCAAGGCTTTGCAGGTATGTGTGAGTAGGTGGGTAGATGCTGTATGAGGCAAAGGGATACCGATGACGCTGCGACGGACCGCTGCAATTCGTCACACCTCCACCCAGTTTTTACAAGGAGTGGCGCTCTCACGTTGCACATGGTCCTCCATGAGGAGAACACCTGGGGCTTGTCCCTAAAAAGGGGTCAAAGGTCAAGCACACTCACCCACGTCTAAGATATCCAAGTAGATGACGTCAGATGTTGCGGTTCCGAGTTGGTTGGAGGCCTCCACCCATATCTCGTAGGGCGTGAAGAGGGCGAGGTCACGGGGGATGTAGCATGTATATGGTTCTCCCGCACTATAGTCCTCACACTCCTTTTCTCGTCCGTACCACCTACAGGTGCGCGAACAAGGTTTATTTTCTGATGCGTACTGATAACTGGACACAATACGTTTGTAGTGATACACCTGCAGGTTCCCTATATGGAGTCTTTTAAATTATGAGGCAGTTGATAAGCCTTATTGCCAGGCCAGGCTTATTGCTCCTGGTTTGGGAATGGGGATGTGAAAATTGCTCAAGCACACTCACCCACGTCTAAGATATCCAAGTAGATGACGTCAGATGTTGCGGTTCCGAGTTGGTTGGAGGCCTCCACCCATATCTCGTAGGGCGTGAAGAGGGCGAGGTCACGGGGGATGTAGCATGTATATGGTTCTCCCGCACTATAGTCCTCACACTCCTTTTCTCGTCCGTACCACCTACAGGTGCGCGAACAAGGTTTATTTTCTGATGCGTACTGATAACTGGACACAATACGTTTGTAGTGATACACCTGCAGGTTCCCTATATGGAGTCTTTTAAATTATGAGGCAGTGGATAAGCCATATAGTCTCAAATGTGGGAATGATTCATTAATTAAGGCTTATTGCTCCTGGTTTGGGAATGGGAATGTGAAAATTGCTGTGTGGAATTTGCATTCCATCTGTTCACTGGGCATGAAAGGCAATTATTACTAAAAAATATATATATAAATAAATATAAAAATAACAAATAAAATGTGAAAGACAATACTGAAACGCACAAATTTTTTTGACTAATTTTAAGTATTTAAAAGTAAACGATTTTATAGGATTTTCCCCGTACTGTATTTTTTGATCAAATAAATAAAAGTAATTTCAAAACAAAAGAAACATTAAGTTTTGATGAAAGATTATGAATACTACCTTTTTTGGAATAATGTGCACAGATGAATCATTCACAATGAGACGAGGAACGTGTATTAAGAAAGTAAATAGGGTCAATTTTGACTTTGTGTTGACTTTAAATATTTTCAATAATGGATGAGTGTCTTCAGCTGTCATCCTCATTTAAGTTCAGGAATGGGGCCAAGATTCCATTCAGCTGAGAACAAAAGACACTGCGTCTAAGTGTAAGACTGTGATTATATGAACCAAACCTTACAGAGGAGACCTCAGAGACATAGAGAGCTTGAGTCAACACAGCACTTCACACACACACACACACACACACACACACACACTTATCGTAACCACGTCTCTCCATTTCTGGCTTTCATTTTTCCATTTCTGATCTTTTTTCCAAATGACCAGACAGACACTCGCTTCCTTGACTTTGTCTCGCTCTTGTGTGTGTGTGTCTGTGTTTGTAATTTTCCATACTGCCACCATTCCATGTAACTTGACAAATGCGGTACATTTGTTCCGTCATACGCGTCAGTCGAGGATAGCGCCTATAATGGACCACACAGGTGCTAAAAGCATAACAGTGGAACAGATAGCTATCTTAAGGGGCTTAAACAACTCTCGAGTTCATTGGCGGACAGGCAGAAAACATTAAATACTGCAACAACTGTGGCTCAGTGGCAGGGGGTCAAATCATAAAGACTGTCTAATACTTCCACATCTGACCCATATTCCCCAAGGCTCCAGGCTTGCCCACAAAATCTATTTAATTGTATTTAAGTTGGACTGCGTGCACAATCGCCAATTAAACACACTCGGTAGTTGTACAGGAGCCTAGAGTAAATACGAACAATATGGTAGACGGACTCACTGCCAACATAGATGCAGGAGCCGGCCAGCACATGACCCCCGCTGTTATGGCACACGAGGTTGTCTCCGGAGCGCTGGCGGGACCCGGAGAGCCGCGGGAGGGTGACGCTGAGCACGGTGGGGCTCAGAATGCTGTAGGTGCTGCTGGGAAGACGCTTTCCGTTCAGTGTCCAGTAGAGCGAGCCTGCGTGAACACCGTGGTCTGGATTCACTGAGCATGTGGCTGTCAGGCTGGAGCCGATGGGAAGGGCCGTGTCTTGAGGGTAGATTGTAGCCACCTCTGAGGGAGGGCGAGATATAGCAGGTTAGAGCTGGAAAGAGGCAGCACGGTTATTACGGGCTGTCTGGTTATGGGTGAGCTCACGTTATGTGACGTTAAAGGAGGAGACAGACCGACCTCATGACTAACACATCAAAAAAGTTGATAGTGACAGCCTAAATCAGAGCAATGTGGCATACGCAAGATGATCACAAAAGGAGATAATATCCATTTACTATGAAAGGGAACACTATAGTCAGATGGTCCGTCTGACTGTATATTATCCCCCTTATTAGATAGATACACAACTAAATAAATGCACATAAAATAAATGAATTATTAAATAAATATATGCACCAGAAATAATGGCTTGAGATTATTTTGTGAGACAATGTGGGGAAAATATTGCTTGCAAGGGTCAGCATTTAAATACACCTACTGTTTAGTGTTCATTCAAAAATTATTTGACCACAGAATGCACATAAAGTAAATAAATTAACATTTAATATATGCAAATGAAACATTGGATTGAGATTATTTTGCATATAAAACTAGCACAGTGTAAAAAATAGTGTTTACCAGGATCAGCGTTTAAATACACACGTTTTAGTGTTCATTAAAAATGATTTGACCACAGAATGCAAATACAATAAATAATTGAACAATAAATATATTTATGCACATAAAATATTAGTTTGAGGTTATTTTGTTATGTGAGAAAAAAAAAAGATGTAAAACTAGCACAGTTTAAAAAATATTGTTTACTGGGTCAGCGTTTAAATACACATATGGTTTAGCGTGAAAATAAATATATGCAAACGAAATATTGGTTTTAGTTTGTTTCATTAATGTGTGAAAAAATATATGAAACTAGCAAAGTGTAAACAATGTCAGGGTCAAACTTTAAATATACATATGATTTAATGTTCCAGTTGTGTCATTTCTTTGAGTGTTTCTTAAATTTGACATCTATCACTGCACTGAACAATCTCAGATAATTAATATAACAGGAACTCACATACAAATATTATTTTGTAAACCCTTTTCATTATCACTCTTGTAATGTGACAATGTGGAATTCCTCAAAAAATGTGTCAGTGCAGCACAATTGAGTAATAGAGGTGATGAAGGAACTGCCGTGTGATTACATGTAATTACATCAAGATGGATAGACAGACTAACCTTAAAAGAGAGATTACATATTCAACACGCACTCAGACCGAGCCGAAAGGGTGAAATTTCTCTCCGTAACAAAAGGGAATGATACAAATCAGTAATTTTATCTTACAGAATTAATGAAACAGAGTCACGATATGGACTTGTATTACTTTGTAACAGTCTTTACAAGGTGCTGTTTTGATTTAAGTGGATTAAAAAAAACATTTCACTTCAAACCATTTAATGACAGGAGCAATTACAAGTATTTAACGCAGGTGTCTGAATAGGAAATGAGCATTAAGATATTTGGTTTCAGATCAGAAGGTCTCATGAGAGAAGCCTGTATTCCTGTCATCACTAATGCAACGCCGAGAGAAAGTCTGTAAAGCCTGGATGCACATCTTACCGCTGAGACGGTGAACAGCGGGACCACCCTTTGGACATTCCTGGCCATGTTGTTAAACCGCAATGATCTTTTAAAGGGTTGCTTCTGTCTACACATTTTTTCCCTTTTAACTCTGTTTATATTTCACTGAGGCCCAGAAAAGCCAGCCTGACGCTTTTGCGTTTAATGTTAACTAGAGGAGAGGGAAGTGTAGTCTGTCAGTGGCTGTATTGCACTTCACTTTCTTAATCCCCTGCCTGGCACTGAGGGTGTGAATGAGGCAATAATTAATTAGATGCAATTAATCTCAATCTTCCCCTCCACCAACACCTGCGAATGTCACGTAAGGGGAATGTGCTAAACGCTTGCATTGTAAATGTATTTTACAATAGCTATTAATAATTTAGCCCTTTGTTATTTACAACGCAATTATGCCCTTTGATCCGGTTACATTGTTCTCTGCTATTCATTAAAAGTAAATTAAACTTTCCCAAACACCTATATTTCACCAACACTATGAACAGAATCCATCGTCTCTGTTGTAAGTGTTGATTTGAGGTGAACTTTTTCATTCAGTCACATATGCATTACAAAAATAAGCATAAGAAGCATGATGTCAGGGTTTTTTTGTGGTTCATAAGGCTGAACCATCCACGTGTTAAATGAATTATGCTCTGATCTTTTGAAATTTTAACCTCTAGCAGACTTTTTCAATATAGTGCAATAGGTTGCGCCGATACAGATATCATCAGTTGTTCAATTTGTTGAGCCAGGCAATTTACAACAGCAGCATTGCTATGTAAATAAAACATTGAATGCTGTTTTCTTAAAACTCTGCATACAGGTCAATGGCGTCCGGATCTATTAAATTTATTAAAAGTACATTACAAATGCAAAGCTATAAATTACCTTCTGATGAACATGTTTCCAACTTTTGAGCTAAAAATGAACTCAGTTAAAATTAGATCATTTTGACATTTTGGGGGGCTTAATGTGGTGTAATTTTCTGGAGACTGTAAAAAAGAAAAGAAAAGTGATCTTACAATGTTGGGAAAACTTGTCCACCAGATTAAGGTCCAGGGTAACCAACATGTAAATAGACAATTTTGTTTTATTGTGACATGAAAACTCTAAAATAATATTTTATATCACAGAGGAGATCTATCTAAACCATCATGCATGTGTCAGGATTATTACGTCAAAATGGATGTTTTGTTTAGATAAAAAATAAAAACCATTGTTTTGCTGAAAAAAAAAAAAATTACTAATCCAATAAACATTACAAGAACCCAGGCACGTTTTTGACCTATACATAAAAATATTGTGTTTTGCAGATGCAGGATACTTAAAAATTCACTTAAGAGGATTTTGTTTTATTATCGCTGTAAATAACTTAATTTACACTGTATTAGAGTTTTAACTTTCTTTCTATTCTGTTTACTAATTTTAATTCAATACTGAACGCCTCAAGTTCCGAAACAAACCCCATTCGATGAAGAAGGTACGTAAGAACACATCTAACACACAGAGAGAGAGAGCTATAAATGTACTCACGGGTTGAAGACGACAACACGCCGGCAGCACAGTGGAACAAAAACAATAAGCAGATCATCTTACGAAATAAATTCGCTTTCTTTCTTTTAGTTCAGGAGAGTGTATTTGGACTATGCAGGAATATTTGAGACACGCATGCCACACCGAGTCCAGCTCCAGTGCACCCGAAGAGTTGATCCCAGCGTCAGTTCCTGAGCTGCTGGCGTCTCGCAGATGTTCCAGAAGACTGAACTTTAAAAAATATCCGCCAAATGTTCTGTTAATGCGACGGTGCATTCGTCCTCTTCATTTAGCCTACTTTTGGCATCGTTTACCGTGCCGAGGCTCTCCACTGCTAGGAAACATCCAAGTTTATACTTTGCAAGCTCCTCCCATGTCTTCCCACACAGTTCCAAGTCATTTTTGCCTCTTTCGTTTTATTCCTCCCTTCTTTCTGTCTGTGCCCTCCGCTTGTTTCGAGCAGGTCTTGTATCTAGAGCAGTGTAGTATCTTTTTCCTTGTAAAAGACCTGTGGGCCAGAAGAATATCTTACCTTCAACCTTATTATGGATAATCATTACAATTTGAGCAATTCCATTCCGTGACAGTTGACTGGAAGAAGTATCAATTTAACTCACTTTCTGCACCCCTTGTATTTGACATACTGTCTGTTAATTTGGATATTATAACTTTATTTGAACAGAACTGAAGAAAAGGCAGATAATGTGATCCGAAATAATATTCTTTTCTATATTCCAAATGTTCCACGAAATATAAAAAGAAAATGTTTGCAAATATTTTATAACATCTTGCCAATAGTTTCTTGAAAAAGTGCAATACAATTCTGTAAATGATATAGAATAATTTAATTAAAATTATATAGAGAAAGAATTATGACAGTAAAAAACAATATTTATTTATTATTATTACATTTAATGTATTATTCAATTTTACTGTTTATTATTAAAACAATGCAATTTGATCAAACTTTTTTTTTTTTGCTGTACAAAGTTTAAATCAATGGAAAATGATCAATTCAATACCAACGCCTCAAAGTTGTCATGACTAATGTTTGACTAATGGTGGTTATGAGCAGATGGAGATGTGGTCCTAGCCATTGAGTCACCCACTTGGTGAGAAAGTGTATTTTGAAACAATAACCATGAAAGCCAGTTCGTCCGTGGGTCAGCAAGCCACAAAGTGGCGCTTTATCTATTGTAGAAAAAATGCTTGTTAATGCCGGATTTACCGTTAGTTCCACGCTGGTTCTGTCTCATAAATGAGTGAGTGGACTTCCTTTACAGTTATCACCATACAATGCTATAACAAGAGGGATGTCATCCAAAGTCTGTGAATGGGGACAAAGACCATTCATCTCACAGAGCCCTCAAGGGAAGGGAGAACTCCCACCACATTCATTAATTCTGCCTTTATCCTATAACTTCATGTTTATGTCTTCTGCACTTCTAAAGACCTTGTTCCTAAATATATTCTACTCTTCCAAACAGTTTACTCATGCATACGTATTATGTCTGAGTCAATGCGTTCTTAAGAATGTCATGTCATATAAATAGCGCACCTCAGGAAATTTACATTTACAAATCAAGATGTTGTAATCACAACAACCTCTTAAGATTGGCTTAAGATAAATGAAAGCCATACAAACGGATTAACAAGGTATAATTATCTGTGAATGAAGTAGCTGTTCCTGGGAAACACACGACTGGCGGAACTGACATGCACGTGGTCATTTTACACAGAAATAAGCTCCAGATTTCAGAGGAAATGGTCTTACTATCATCTGCCTCAGATCTTTGAGTCTTTAGGAATATAATCCAGTCCATTAAACGACTTTGGATCAACTTGAAGGGCGAGGAGTGATTATACTTTTCGCCAAATCCTAAAAGATGGGAAAATAATCCAAAACATTAGCTATGCAGATCAACTGCAGGGGAGGAAGAAAAGGAGTTCCTCCAGCATTACAGTATCTGAGTGATGTGTTAAAAGAGTTCTGCTTTGGAGACAGAACAACAAAGATAGTTAGAAACAGAAACGCAAACAAGAACTTCCTCTCGGCAAACAAATTGCAACGTAAATCTCTCGGCCAATTCGCTGACCGCATCTGATTGGACACATACCCAGCTAGGTGATGCCTATCCAGAACATGACTTACACTTCAAGGAATTGTCTGTATCTAAGAGGACATTTATCCTCCAGAAGCCTGCTCTGAGACAGCACAACACCCCATAATGAGACAGAGAAGCATTGATTACCGGGACCCTGTGATTTAGTGGGTGAGCTCTGGCATGTGGAACAAATTATCCCACCATAAAGATTTCAGGGGGAATTCTCTTCGGGACGGAGGCTTGGAATCGCAGCATTCAAGCCGAGTGTGAAAGCATTGGCTGCTTTGTTTTGAAGCACCCCGAGGAACCCAAATTGGACATGCAGTAATATAATGATGATTACCCAAGGGGGGTTAAACCTTAGTCCAACACACCTCAGCATTTTATGTCCAATCAACTTGGCCGACACAGAAATCCTCTTAAAAATGTCTGGAAAGCTGGGAGAGGCTCCAGCTCTGCGAAACATGTGCTGAAATCACTGTAAATCAAGCAATTTCCTCTTAATACACAGAGACAGTCACTGACCCCAGCGGTACAATCCTCACTGATTGGGAGAAAATGTTTGTTTGAAGTAGGGTCAAAGCCTTTCCAGACTCGGATAAGCTTTGTTTATATTGTAATGTATGTTACAACGTATTATTTCTTTAAAGAATGGATAAATGTGAATTAACATGGAATGAACAGTCGAAGAAATACAAATCAGATCATCATTCCTGACGAATACCCCTGACATAGTTTCTAAAGCCAGAGAAGCACCTTTGGCAGCCCCCCAATAATGCATGACAGATGTATATCAACCATACACTCTGTGATGGCAAGATCTAGCAAATCTGTAGCCAAAATTCCCAAGAGACTCTGAGTTGTTAACTTGCTCTTTCTCCTCATCTCCATCTGGATTCAATGTGCTGGGTGAAATGCATCGACAATCAAACAAGAAATTTCACCCTTCATTCTCTTCTTTTGCCAATTCTTTATTCATTCCCCAAATGCTGTATTTACTTTCTCTATCCTCTTTAGGTTATGCAAACCCTGCAGTATGTCCTACATTACTGGAATGTGTATAATCATGTATTTGTGCTACTGTACTCTGTGAAAATGAAAATATTTGGAGAATGTATTGTTCAATTCAAATGCATGACTCAAAGTTGTAAAATATCTCAACATGACGCCCCTGGTATGCTTAAGAAAAAGCTAAACTAAAATGAGATTTAAAAGTCAATGCATAATATGAACATATAGGCAAAATAAAAACTATTTTGTGGTCATTTACATGCTCTAATTGTTCTGATGCTGTTCAGATCTTTAATTATATACAATGATATATACTCTCTTTTATTCTGCACTTTCTTCAATGTTACGATCAGCTATTTGAAAGTATAACTACAGACACAAAGACCAATATCACAGTGCATAATTAAAGCAAATCTAGGCAATGGAGCTGCATGCCATTCAAAAGCAACCATTAGAGGGAGCACAAACACAATGTATTTGACTCAATTTGAGATAGAATTATTTTTAGGATTGAGAATTATAGAAATGAGAATTTGACAACAACTGATAATACAAACTCTAAAGTTGTCAGGCTATGCAAATAATCTTAGCGTATATAAACTAACATGTTATTAAGCAAATCTTCAATTGCTAAAAAATTTAAAAGAGTTTCAGTTGGTTACTGTTTTTTTCTGCTGACTAATCAATATGCAAATTATTTTGATACACATTACAAATGAATCTGTGAAGCAGTCAAATACAATGGGTTTTATATAATAAACATATTAAGAAACAAGTAGGGAGGGTTGCATAATGGGAGGGGGCTGCTGTGCATGGAGGTTTATCAGTCAATCTCATGTTCTGCTGTGTCACTGTGCTGTTAGGCATTTCTTTTATTCTCTTGGCACTGAATGTGTACATGAAAGAGCACACCTGATGGCCTGCACACATTGCAAAGAAGCGGATTGCATATTATACAAGCATAGGACAAAGTCCATTATCTTCTTGTGCAACATGAAATAACACACACACAAAAAAACAACTACACCTGTAATTAACGGCAAATTATGATATTTTATTGTGATTCTAAAGTGCTATTTTACTAAAGTTTGCATGGCGAGCATTAAAAGGTGTCATTTTAAAGATGAGTAGATATTATAATTATTATAATATAATGATTATTATAATCATATCATAATTATCGTAATAAATAAATACTAATTGATTCAATGTGTAAAATGCATTCACAGAACTAAGAATGACAAATTCAGTTCTAACACTGCCATAAGAAAACGCTTTGCATATGTACCTGATCTTTCTAACAGTAAACTTTGCTTCCTTTGTTGGAACATATTTGCTCTTGCACCTCCTGCTCTTGGTGGAATTTACATGGAAAACAATGTTTGTGCTTCAATAACTTCCTTAAGACCATGACAAGGCAAGAATCAGTAAAACAAACCTCACAAATGCTGCTAAGGTCAAAGGCCTGGGTGTAACCCAACAAGGAATATGATCTTCAGGAAGCCTTGGAGGAATCCTGACTGTAAAACGATCTGCTACAGTATCTGCCAGAGATCCATAAAATCTGATTGCTATATAAGAACAATAACAAAAGAGAACTGACTCTTAATAGTATGGATGCAACATTTTACATATAATCTGGCACACAGGTAAATTAATATGCATAGCTAATATAGTATGCGCAAAGTTGTAAAGTAATAATTTAAATTGTTGAAGGTAACTGTAATTTCTGTTAAACATTTTCCAGTTTTAATTGTGGAATTTTACTGCACAGGTTTGTGTCAACATTGTTAATGACTATGTTTGTAGGGGCAACATGAGACTGAAGTTCCCTGCTTGAAATGTGGATTAGCTTGTTCATTATTGTGGAATGCCACTCACAGTATATTCTGACTCACAGAAGCCTCAGTGACAATTAAAATCCCAACAAGCCCAAACAAATACACTGCAAATACAAATTTCATCTAGGATTAGGAAGAGGGTTTCCCAGTGGGTGTCTGTTCTTCTTGCATAACAACCTTAAGGATTTTTGGCAAAGAACATGCCAAATTTTCCAGACCGTGAAGCATTCAGAGATGGATTATCTGAGAGGTATATTTAAATGACAAATGAGATCAACTGACAGTCCTCGATAGCTTTGATTTCGATTTGTCAGTCAGCCTGCATTAGGTACCACTGGCGTTCAGCTGAACAGAGGACAAATTTCATCTAGGATTAGGAAGAGGGTTTCCCAGTGGGTGTCTGTTCTTCTTGCATAACAACCTTAAGGATTTTTGGCAAAGAACATGCCAAATTTTCCAGACCGTGAAGCATTCAGAGATGGATTATCTGAGAGGTATATTTAAATGACAAATGAGGTCAACTGACAGTCCTCGATAGCTTTGATTTCGATTTGTCAGTCAGCCTGCATTAGGTCCCACTGGCGTTCAGCTGAACAGAGGAGTTGCACAGTCATGCTGATGTCAATGGCACTCTGTGTTTGGACGGCTGCCAGCGAGAGCGCGCGTTGGAGAGCGTGCACGAGCCTCCTTAATAGAGTGTGTTTGGAAGCGCGCGCGAGCGTGAGTGAAGGAGTGTACGCGCGTTTGCCCTCACAGTTGACAGTCAGTCAGTTGGCAGCTGGAAGGCGGCGGAGCTTCGCGACACGGCAAACTTTCGATTTTTTTGAGTGTGTTTTGCTTTGACGTTTTACGCGCTAACTGCTGGAACGTTCTGTTCGTGAATGCGCGCGGAGGGCATTCCCCTCTTCACTTATTCATCTCTTTTTTAATTCGAACAGCATCGTTCTTTATATAAAGCACCTATGACAGTACGTAAGTGGAAGTAAGTGAAGAATTGTCGCCGGTTCCGGATACAAGGTGAGTGCTTTTAGCTGGTGTAGATGGAGGATTGCGCTACATTGTTGTCGATGGACACCAGAACGCACTAGAAAGCGCGCGCTTGACAGTTGTTTAACTAATAGAAGTCATTTTGCTTCTTGCCTTATCAGCACAATTTTATCAGGGTTGCGACAGCCAGCCCATGGGGTGATGATGTCACAACTGTTAAAATCTTGAATGAGTGCTTCTTGTTTTTTTTCTCCAAATTAAAGTACTGACAGGGTAGTTCAGTTCTTTATAATGCTTAAGCAATATCACACGAGCAGTGCTTCTGTAGTAGCATTGTACAGACTCCGAGGCCGCAGGTAAATATCAGCTTTACTGATTTCTGACCAGCATGATTGCTAGTGTAATATTATGCAGTAGTTATAAATATCCTGTAACGTACGTTTCACACAAAGTTTGGCGAGTTAGTTCGTATATTTCTTTTCAGCCAACGAAAATAGTTCCGAACATGCCAAAGCTTCAAGCTTTGGGTGTCACCAAGCAACGCTCAGGCTGAAAGCCGGACTGGATCAGCGTGTATTAGTGGAGCGGAACGGCCCCTCCCACGCTCAAAGCTTTCTGCAATCACTTGGCTGAAAGTCTACTCCGGGTTTTCTATGTTCTGCGCTCTGTACAAGAAACCCGTTCCGAGCGATCGTGGAGCGATGTTATGTCTGACACCGAAACTCAATATATTGGAGCTGACAACTACGTGACCACAATCTGGCGTAAAAGATAGACTTTTTAAATTCTATTTTTTATTTTTTTTAGTATGGTAATTCCTGTGTGAGGCTCACATGAAACATGTCAAAATCGACATTGCAAATTTTATGAATAGTTTTTTTTTTAGTGTAAATACACCCAAACGACTTATAATCACTTTTGACAATGACTCTTATTTATTAATAAATAAATAAAAACAAAATTCATAAAGTATCATTTGCAGAGATAAAATGTAAAAGCTGTGGCTGTAATGGGGCACAGCAGATTTGTAGGTGTTTTTCTTTTTGACCACTAGATGGACACACTGTAATTGTTAAAAAAAAAAAAACTTTGAGTAAAAAACCCTTTTATTATGCGGTTAAGCGAAACTGTGCTTAGCAAAGCTTCCTTTTGCCGTAATCATTACAACTCTATTTCCATTTGTGAGAGACACTGCTGTGCCAGTAGGTGGCGACATGCAACTGTTTTTATGAGCAAATCATTAAATCATACATTCAGCGAACTAGTTCAAAAACACTGATTCATTTAATAATAAAACAACTGCTTTGTGTTGATTGTCCCCTTTTTACCTGCAGCTATTTTCATTGACAAAGCACAAATAGACAAAGTAACTGGCAGTATTGTCTAAAATGTAAGTTACTCAACGCTAACTGATTGTTGAAGTTCAGAACAACAGCACTCTTGCTTGTGTGATATTGCTTAATTATATGATTCTGTTATTTTTAATTAATTGTTTCCATGCTGATTTGACAGGTTAAAGTGCTACATGCACATATGATTGTTATAGACCATTCTGCTGCAGTAGTTCAGATTTTTCACTGGAGCTACCAAAAATTGTATTTTTAGTAGCAAATTGTAATGCCTCAGTTTATGTGCAGCAGATTAGTTTAGTTAGATTAGTTATTTACTCACCAATAATAGCTAGAAGTTATGTAAGGGATAAAGTACAATTAGCTGGTTGTTATTATGAAATAAACCTCCAACTGGGTGACCAGGCAGGACCTCATAAGACATAGTGGCAAATTGCAGCACTGGTCTGACTGTTCAGTCAACTGTCCCGAAACTCACTGGCCCTGGGCCATCAGGTGATCCTTATTGTCCTAAGCTAATTGAACTGGTATTAGTCATCTCTCTGTGAGTCAATTTGCAGTACATTCCTATAGTGTGTGCATGTGTGACAGAGCACATCTGACTCTTTCCAAGATAACTAGTAGATTACGACCATTGTGCAAGGAATTCAGAGTACTTAGAACTTCATCTGAACAAAGAATTTCACATCAGCCTGATTCTAGGCCAGTGATCACCACCCTGCCATGTACCCAGTGTCTTTATGATTCACAGTTTTCCACGTAGTCATGAACACCTTCCAGACTGCTCATAGACTGACTTACTCTTTATCAGGGCAATGGAGATGTGTCATGGTTCAGTTATCAATGAGGTGTTTTTGTCCTCTTGCTGACCTCAGCTATATAACTGTGACACAGTGGAATCGCACTCACTCTCCTTGGAAATCCCATAAGTGACGAGGACTTTGTTTTATTAAAGGCATAGTCAGCCCAAATTGAAAAATCTGTCATTATTTACGTACTTCATGCAATTCCCAACTTGTTTGTTTTGCAGAGCACAAAAGTAACAGTTTTAAAGACTTTTTAATCAGTTCATGTGACCACATCTGTCAAGCTCCATAAAGAACAGAAACAATGCAAGGCACAGTGGACATATCATAGAGTTTTTTTAAAGTCTGTACATGAGCAGAGGCTAGACATGATTTTTGGTGGAAATTAATATCAGTGAATAACTTTGAAAGAATAGGAATACTGCACACAAGTTACATCACTACTTTTTTGTGTTTTCTGTTCTTTTTGGAGCTTGTCAGATGTGGCCACTATATGAACTGGCTACGTTTGCATGCACTCCTATAATGCAGTTAGAGCAGTACTGCGGTTAAATTGGAGCTCATGTAAACAGGATACTGTGATTATGTTAGTGTGATTATGTTTATAATCTGAGTAACCATAATTGCAGTAAAATGCACATTTTAATCACACTTATATGAGAGTGCATATGCTTTAATCGCATTTATTGCCCTCTTGCCAAAGTGTGCTTTTTTATTAAAGAAACAGAAATGATAATGTACAAACACCTTCAGAGAGCATTATAGAGCAGAACATCGACAGAAATGTACTATTTACAGAAAATTTCACATGTACCACCAAACAAGAGGAAAAAACCAGAGGAAAAGCAAAATGAATGAATAAATTTAATGAAAATAAAATAAATATTATTTATAAAATTCTAATAAAAATAGTGACTGAATATATAGGTCAGATAAAATGAAAACATTGATAAGAAGAGGAAAGCACGCTAAAGCGTATTAATTGGATCATCCAAAAAATTCTCATATTGTTTCAAGAATTTGACACATTTTTATTACTAGTTAAGCAGCAAGTGTACATGTGCTAGTGCTGCATACGAATGAGGTAGGTTTATTACTCTAGAACATTTTAGCATTTGTCAAATGAAACCAGCAACAAACAGTATTTGAATTAAACATTTAATGTTATAGTTTGGGGAACAAGTGAACAGGTACAGATAAAACCATATTTATTAGCGAGTAATCAAAGTAGCCTTGAAAAGCAGGATTGAAAATTGGGGTTTGCCTGTGTCATGTAAACTTATCTTAATCCAAGTAATTCCTCACCCTGACTAATGGTGTACATGTAAACATAGCCATTGTATAGAAACTGCAGTGTAAAGGTACTTCAAAAATGTCAACCGTTTTGTTCCATAGACACAGTATGTAGGCTTCGAACGACATGAGGCTAGGCAAATAATGACTATGCATTTAATTGCATCATCCTCCACAGCACAACGTGGTAGTTAACCAGAACAAAAGTTCACTTGGCAGCACCTTCCACAAAAAGTTCCAGCTTTTCACTCTCTGTTCTATAATTTTTCAAATAACCTGACACTCAGCGAGTTAATGGTTAATCCCACCAAAGCCATGGTGCTAATGTGCACAGCGCAGCATGTTAACGTTCTCTTTAAAGTCCGGCTTAGCAATATGGCATGTGGGAGCTTGACACAATGAGCCTTTATGAGGGATGGAGGCCATGACTGAAGATGCTCTCTTAGTTCCAAAATAAGCTGTTGCTGGCAGTGTTGTCTTGTGATAAACCCTGCTTTAAGACAAATAAGTGTGTCCTCAGCACTCTGGATTGTGCAATAAGAGCAGCAGAGATGACCTGCAAGTGTGGGATGTTACATAACCCATGAAAAAAATTAGCTTCTGATGAGCAACAACTTCTAGACTGATCAACAACAGAGACTTTGGCC